TTTATTTTATTTATTTTTTTTAAACACATTTTTCAATCACTGAGCATTTTGCTCAGTTTTACATTGTTTTCTTATGATCACGGGTAGTGAGTAGATCAGCTACACAGTTTTTGAATAGTCTTTTATTAAATACTTTTACTTGAGTAATTTCTTTAAAGGGTAAATTTTACTTTTTCTTGAAGTGGTTCTACTAGTAAAATTTTAGTGTACTCCACCCACCTTTGACAGTGCTAACCAAAGTAATTGACAGTAAATGAAAAGAAAAACAAAATGTAAAACGCAGCATAAGTGTAATACAAGATAATAAGCATCCACATAATAAATCAAATAAAATCACAGTCAAAAGTGTATTTTGAGTCTGTCCAATGTGTTATTATGTCATTACACAGTTTTTTTGTGCAGTGTCTGGAAATGCTCTGTCACATCTAAGTTTTAACAGTCGCTAAAATGAATAAAAGCCATTAGTCTGCCTTAGAGAGTCACATGCCTTATATGGATACAGCAGCTCTTAAAAAAATCAAAAAACCTCAACAATCAAATTACTTAAAATTAAAAAAGGGATTTTAAAAATACATTTGAAAGTTTTTACCAGCCAGCAAAGCAATGCTGACAGTAGTAATGTGATGGAGTAATGTGATTTTGTCATAAACGAGACAGATTCAGGGCGAGTCAGACAATGGGAAGATTCAAAATATTTAATGACAGAAATGATAAAACAGAACAGAAACGTGGGCTGCTGAGGATAATCGGACTGCAGCGGCTGCAGGGGGGCAGGGCACATCCCATCACTGGCACACTGGATGTGGGAGAAACACAGGTGAGTGACCACAATCATCTGACAGGTGATTATTATCCGAGTGAGTCACTTACCCAGTTTAACAGTTCAGTCCATCCTCCCTGAGGAAGGCAAGATCCGGCCGATGGACTGCCAAACGAGATATGGCTCAGAGCCACCCATGTGTCCCCGATGCAGCAACCCCAGTGAGCGGGCAGGAGACCAATCCAGGTCAGAGAACCTGTTCAGAACTGGACAGTCACGAGATCCAGGAGTCTGTAGCCTGACCAGGAGTTCTGATCCAAACAGGACCAGACTGATTCAGGGTTCCAGGAATCCTCAGAGTGTTCAGGCAGGTTCAGAGTTCTACGAGTCCAGCAGCGAGCTCTGACAGACACGCTCAGATGAAGACAGGCAAGCTCAGTGGTAAAGAGGAACATAGACAAGACATGGTACCAGGATAAATGCCGAACTTTAAACTGGTCTCCAGCTTGGAGCCAGGCTTACAGGAATTAAAACTGACCTTCCCCGCGAGCCGAGCCAAAACCCTGAGGGCTTGGCAGAGAAGAGCCGGGAGACACACACCAAACTCTTAATCCACTGGCCTCCAAGACGTAGGACATGAATCAGGAACTTAACTCTCATGAAACAAACATAAATTACTGAAAGGAAAACATAATATAAATAAAAAAAGAATTGACAAATAATGATCTGGCCCCGGTAGCTGCGTTGAACCATCGAGGGAGCAAGTGGTCCATCACACTTTGGCACTCCAAGTTGCAGAAGGACCAAACCTCCACCTCAGCTGGAGGTGCAGCATCAGCCTCTTGTCATGTGACAGAATTTCATAAATTAGGAGGATGATCAACACCAACAAGGCTGCATGTCCAGATATATTGTCAGCTTAGAAGCTAAAAGCATCTGGCAGCAATTACAGCCTGAAGACTTTTTTATTTAGCAAATGGCTCAAGCTACAGATAGTTTGGACAACTCTTCATTGCAGGACATCTTAAGTTCCATCAGGCTGGGCAGCAGACGTCCTGATCACAGCCATTTTCAGATCTCTCTAAAGATGTAAAGAATCAGATCCAAATCTAGACTCTGGCTTGGTCACACCAGCAAAGTGGTTCTAAATCCAGTCCCTTCAGATCTTAGCTGTGAGCTCTGGGGCTTTGTCTCAGTCTGAGGTAAGGAGCACAGTGGAGCAGGTACTCCCTCAGCTCTCTGTATATTGCTGCATTCATCGTTTTCTCTGTCCTGACTGGTCTGCCAGTTCCTGCTGCTGAAAAAACAACAACAGCATGATGCTGACACCACCATGCTTCACTGCAGGAAAATTATTGGTCTGGAGATAAGCCACATTTCCTCCAAACATGGTGCCAGGCATTCACACTAAAGAGTCCAGTCTTTGTCTTGCCAGACCAGAGACGTAATTCATGCTGCCATGTTCCTTTGTATTAAGGAGCGACTTCATCTGAACTTATAGAAGGACAGAAACCTCGCTCCAAAAGAGGAACACTGGAGCTCACATAAAAAATTATCAGTGTCATTATAGGGTGTTGTTTGTTGTATTTTCAGGAGAGAGATTAATATAATATTGTAGCGGCAATCCAGCTCCTTCAGTCTCTCCTGTACCACATGGAAAAACTATCTAGCAAGGAAGACCAGATAATATTCTTCAACTTATATTGTTTAATAAAAGAGAACAAAAATAAGAGAACATCCACATTCTCATAATATAAACTTGGTCAAAAACTGTGTTGTTTTCCCCTCTGTTCTTACATACAGCAGGTACAAGCAAACAAACAGAAAACACGTATAGAATTACAGCATGCAGGAAGCCCAAAAATATGCATTTCAAATTGCATTTCTATATTCTATCTTTTTAATGTTAGAGTTTGTAAACTTATTATTATAATATTGACAACAAAAATGTATCAATCTTGTTTTTTAACCTTTTTATGGCTATAAATGAATTTGCCTCAAATTTGCTCTCGCAATCTTTTAAAATTAAGGATTTAACTAAATGTGGAAATTATGGATCTGGTGAATACTTTCTTGAAATGATGTAAATTATACAAACTTACTAAATGTCTGGAGGTAAACCAGATATACTGTATGTATATGACAGTAATAATGGTTGATCTGGGTATTGAATTAATAAAATGCAGACTTTTGCAGCACTCGTATGACCTGGCCTAGATGTCCAGAAGGTGGCAGTGTTGTCTCAGCTGGCAAACTGTTGCAAGCACATCACTACAGAAGTGTTCCAGATGTCACTGTGTGGCGCTGTGATTCTTTTAGTTACACTGAAACCAGTTTTTTGTGTTTTGCTTAACTTAGAAAAATGCAGTTTCATTTCTGATGATTCTCCAATTATGTTTGTGAGACACGTAAACTAAAGACCGTACATGCTTTTAAAAAAATGATATTTTTTTCAGGAGATATATTTATTAAGTGGAATTTATTAACTTTTACGAAATAAAAGATTTTGTAATTATGTATATTGTACTTAAACATATTTTAGGAATGTTTTTTGTTAACATATTATCAACAGGATGGTATGAACTGGTTCTTGGCTAGTTGTTCTGATAGTATTACTGCGTCCTAAAAAATTAATCAAGTCCTGATTTTTGTCTAGGGTGGATGACCGTACTTTAAATTGGTTCAAACATTTCAGATTCTCCAACTTTAAAACTCACATTAACTTAATGTCTGCATGATTCATTAACTTTAGATTCATGATTCATGATTAATTAACTTCAGATTACATTCCTGTAAATATCTTCACTTCTTTGGAAAGTACTTTTAGGTTTGGGGAAGCCCTTTTTGTAAACCATACACATAATTATCCCAGTTTAAACTAATAAAAAAAACTTTATAGCAAAAACATACTTGTAATGTAAAAGTTATTGAGGAACAAGCCAATGGCAGAAGCATCATTTGTGGAGGACAAATACTGAACGTATCAGAGCTGCATTTGTTTATATTCATTTGCAGTAAGAAGAGCACAATAGTAATGTGATTTACCATTAAAAGCTAAAACTAATTCTAATAACATATAATAATTAACAACAGTAATTGTCCAATACCTGAAAATTTTACCTGTGCAATAATTTATATGATAACCTTTACCTCTGGTTTAGTTGATGACATCAGTATTTACTATGTTTAAACTGTATTTCTGTTTTTACGTTTGTAGATATTGCAAAGTTTTATAGATTCTGAATTTCATCCATTTGTTTGTTTTATTCAACACAATCTTAGCCAGGGACAATGGTGTCAAATACTCTCTTGGTTGAAAACTTAATGCATAATATCTACTTTGCATTTAATATAAAAGCCATGTTCACCAGACTTTTCCTTAGGTCAAATTAAACAGATAGAGTATAAATAGAAAGTTGAGTTCTACTCTAGGTGGAGCTAATAACATGGCATGAGGTGTCAGGAAATTAAACTGATTTCTTTTTGGAGGCTGCCCATTTGAATATTTCCTTATTCCTGCTGCAAAAATGGATTTCCATGTCGACTGTTGGGTTTGGATTGTTGGGTCTTCTCAATGAACATCCATTGAAATCAGAAATTGCATAGTTTTTCCTTTAGTGTGGTTATGAAAAACATATTTGTGAAATTCTGTTTCGTAAATCCATACAGAAGAGCGGAGTAAAGATTTCAAATTGCAAGTGGCCATCTCAAAGTCAAGAAAAACTTTCCTGGGAAGTGTGAGTGATGTTGTTTAGCTCACCATGAGAGTATAATATCAAATGTGATCAGTTCTGTCATGTCTTGTGTGGCAACAGGAAACCTAAAGCATGTTGCAGAAAGCACCAGAAGAGAGTGGAGTGAATGAGATAGAGCAGATCTGTTTCTATCAATGTCTGGCAGCTGTTCAACAACACCTCAGGTCCTGATGGACAGGCCCAACTGAGAGACAAAAATAACCCTAAGGGAGAGGGTATCTACAAGGCACTGATTAGAGGGGTGTGTGAAATTCTTCCATGTTATTAGACACATTATTCAAACTAAAACACTAAAACCTAATCTTGAAATTATGAAATGGGGTCTTAGTGGTGATTTTTTCACAAAGTTATAGCTGTTATGCTAACATTTCTGTTTAGTGTAAGGATTTTAGTTTTGGGGCTTCTAACATGGTCAACCCATTCTCTTAGTCTCTTGGTACAGTTCAAGTGGTGCACAGCTATTTTAGTTCCTCATGGGAGGAATGTCCAGTTGTCACTGAAGACGTAGCGGTCTGTGAGATCACCAACTATCTTTCAGAGTAAAACCTTTTACTCAACTCAAACATCCGATTATTTATTCGAGTCTCAAGAAGAGGAGTATCCGATATGGAAAACGTGGTCATATTTGACTCTCCTGGGAAAGGAAGGGGTCTGAAGGCAACCAAGGAATTTTGGGCTGGAGATGTAATATTCTCTGAGCCCAGTCTTGCAGCCGTTGTATTTGACAGGTATGATCTAGTCTGAATTACGCGGTTAGGTATTTAAATGTGGTCATTCTGAGGACAGCTGAGCAGTAAATTAGTATATGTGCTTCTTATAATTATGATAATTATTTTATAAATATTATTCTAAGTAATTATTTAGCATTGTTTAAACATCTCATACATAACATCTAATAGATTTAAATTTTTGAAGATCCTACAGGTAGATTAGTGAATCTATAACCACTGCTTAAGGTGCAGTATTTTTATACAGCATGACCTCTTATTATCAGTTTACCTTCAATAAATGTTGTTTAAACAACAACATACTAGTGTTGATCATTTAGTGTTTTATTATGTCATTTATTTGCTCCATATCGATGCCATTCCTATCCCAGAAGTGTTTGTAATCTTTATAACAGACAAACATGAAGGAGAATATAATCTCAACTCAAAGTCCTCTTAGTTTTTCATTAAAGTAATCAAGTTATCTGGTGGGTGAAGAGTGTTGTATATTAAAACGATTAGAAATTTAGATCCGATTTAACTCGGGTGCTTCAATCAAAAACAGGTGCAAACATCGACCTTAATCGAAACAGAAATAGAGGGGAAAATATTATGTACTTTCAGTAAAAAAGCAAATGTGAGGAGTAGTTAATTGTAATTTTAAATGTTTACTTATTTATTTTTGGTTGCAGCCTTGCAGAGCGCATTTGCCACAGCTGTTTTCGCAGGCAAGAAAAGCTCCAGAGGTGTGGTCAGTGCAAATTTGCTCATTACTGCGACCGAACCTGCCAGCGTGCCGGGTGGGCTGAACACAAACAAGAGTGCAGTGCCATCAAGGCCTATGGAAAAGTACCAAATGAGAACATCCGGTAGGTGGAAGCCAGAAAAGGAGAAGAGGATTCTTTTTTCTGTTCGTAAAGACTTCATACGACAAATAGCTTTACCATCTATCAACCACTTTAAGAAAAATATTTTGCTAAAATAATAAAACCAACAAAAACATGTTTAGAAAAGAATTTTGTGTATTAATCGTTTGCTGATAATTTCAAATTGCCAAGAAGGCACACCACTAAGACAACCTAACACTGGTAAAAGAGGACCCTATTCTATTCTATTCTATTCTATTCTATTCTATTCTATTCTATTCTATTCTATTCTATTCTATTCTATTCTATTCTATTCTATATGAAAATGCATGCATTGACTTATGTAAGTCAACTGAAAACACAACAAACATTTTTTGAAAGAATTAGGTGTTTCTTCAAATAAGGCCAGAAGTACCAAGTATAGCTATATGAGTAAAAATATGTGACCTTTAGCTTAATGAAGGGAAAACATATGTTTTTCATAGTAACCAGTAATATAGTCTTTATAATAAATTTAACCAAAACATGTAGCACAGATACTGAGCATATAAATTGTGAAGTGAAAGCAGTTTAGATGAAATGTAGATATAGTCAAGAATATCGAAAGATTTAGCCTGAATAGGTTTTTCTTTACATATAGATTAAGACAAGCCATTTCTGTTTATATAAAATCCTTTCTAACTTTCTGCTTTCACTTTATGCTCAACATTGTCTCTGGAAGCAAGGTTATCAACCTGCAAATATCTCATAATCAGTGGGATGAAACTTTAAAAAGGTCTAAACATGTGGTAGAAAAATTAATAACATATAATTGTTTTTCTCTATTTTATTTTTTATTAAACAAACTCAAAATGTGTTTTTCACAAAAAGAGCATATGTTGCATCACACACAGATGTTCAGAGTTCAACAACTGCACAACTCAGAGTAGAGCCAGTTAAATAACATGTCATCTGCTTGATAAGTCATTTGTACCAAAGCAGATGCCTGGCTTATTTTCATTTCAGAAGTGGTGCATTAATTAATGAATGTGTCTGTGTGGAATCTTTATGTCAGTTTCTACAATATTGCTATTTGTAGAAGATCTAGATATAGGGGAATAATCCTTTTCATTCTGACTAATATATTTACATCTTTTGCCTATAAGGTAAAATATGGGCTGTGACAATGAGTCACATGTTTCTGAAAATAACTGCTGCAGTGGACCGACTACCATGTCAATACTCCTTAAAGGCTAAATTTGATTTCACTGTCAAATTTCCAAATGTCTTTTTCTTTGCTTTTCCTGTGCCTGTACAGGCTGGTTGCCCGCATTATGTGGCGCCTGGATAAGGAAGGGAGTTTAGTGTCTGACATGCAGCTGACCACGCTGGACGAGCTGGAGGACCACCTAAATGACATGCAGGATGATGATTTAAAGGAACTCAAAGTGGACATCCACAACTTCCTGGACTACTGGCCCCGAACCAGCAAGCAGCACACCATTGATGACATCTCCCACATATTTGGAGTGGTGCGTCCTGTTTTTATATCATTTTAAGGTGAAAAACTCAAAAGGAAAAGCTTTTATACAGTGACCAGAAAAATACTGGGATGTACAAGAGTTCTGAGGGGGCACATTTAATTGATTTTGTTCTATTAAATAGTTGTGGCTCATAATATTTGATTAATTGCAGGAATTTCAGGTAAAATATTAACATAGTTTTGTCGAAAGAACAACTTATAAAGTTTGCCTATTACTCAAAATCAGCCGTAGTTATACCGTATAATATAATCAGTTCAATCAACTTATGTTCTCATTGGCAGAGTTTTGTGTTTTCAGCTCTATTAAAAAGCACAGCAGGCTGACAATATCATTCATTAAACTTTTATTGCAGCATTATAATTAGTATCAAGGTCACTAACCTTTTATATGAGCAGGAAAAGGTATCTTTAGTGCAGATCAGGTGAATTTTATAGCGTTCATCCCATTTATCTTCTAAAAGAGAAATCAATGTATTTAATCTAGAAAATTAAGGATCTAAATTCAGATGCAGCTGAGGTCAAATGGTCTTTTAGCCTATTGGTATGTAGGTGCAATACCAAACAGGGATTAGAGCATAAAAGGAAGAGGATGAACAGATTAGAGCATGAGGAATTTGTTTGATCACTTTCTATTCTTGAATATGTTTGATGTGCTTTATGTCAAATGTTGCAGATCAACTGTAACGGCTTCTCTGTGAGTGACCAGAGGGGTCTTCAGACAGTAGGAGTTGGACTTTTTCCTAATTTGTGCTTAGTTAACCATGACTGCTGGCCAAACTGCACTGTGATTCTCAATCATGGCAGGTAAGTAAAAAAAGAAAAGAAAACAACTACTCTGACAATGTTTTATGGTTTTCTGTCTGGATCTGCAGTCAGAGCTAAAGTCAGCTTAAGTATTTGTCAACTTCAGATTACTTGTTTGTCACAAAGGTTTCAACAATACATTTTTGTATCAGTCTAAGATATCCTAAGTAAATACAAAATGTAGTTTTAGGTGAGGATTTCAAATATTCAATAATTTTTATTTTTTTTTACCAAAACCCACCAAGTCCCACCTATGTGTGAAAGGTATCCCCAAAATACTGGTCTGTTCCACTGCTGGAGAGAATGTGTGCCCTGACGTATTTCTAAAAAGCAACAATTTTTTTTCCTGTTACTGATGAAGAATTTTGTTCAATTTTGGTCTTTTTTGTAACAGAGTTCTTGTAGTTTAGACAAACTAGAGAGTTTTCAAAGAATGACTGACATATTCAAGGTCAAACTAAATGAAATTTAAACCTGGCCTCTGACTGGACCTTATAAAAAATTTAAATATATATTTATTTTAAGACAGAAGTGTGGAGTTGATGGTTATCTTTATATCATCTTTAGGATTTTCTTCTTCTTAGTTGTATTAATGATGTCCGGTTGTGCAGGTTCTGAGGAGCAAAGCAGCCACGGACCGTATGTCTTAACCTGAACCATTTAAGACAGTAATGTGCTAATTTTTATACGAAATCGTAACTGAACAGTTTTCGATGACTGGACAGATCTCCATCCAGCAATACATAGTTTGATAGATGGAGATCTGTAATGAATGCTCTACTGATGGGTGAACTGATTCAGATAGTTTTTTTTAAAAGAGGTAGATGAGTCCGAGTAGGTTTTTTGCTTATTATAGGAAATCATTTCTAGAAAATACTTCAATCTGTGGCCAGGTCATTACTATGCTACAAAAAAAAAAAAAAAAAAAAAAAAAAAAAAAAAAAAAGGTGGAAGTAATCGTCTGGGAAAAATAACATTTTCAAAGCACTGTAGCTGTAAAGGACTCCAACTTAAAGGAAAATAAGCCCCATTGTTATTGGAGGTTTCCATGTGTGCCCCTGTTGTTTTTGTGCTATAAGAAGTTTGTTTATGTGCAGTTTATGTTTCTGTCAGGTGTTATTTGTTGTAAAACTGCTTCCTGTTTGTCTTTCAGTCAGTCGGCTGTGAATACCATATTTCATTCTCAACGGAGGTGCGTTACCTCACCTTAAATCTTTCTATATAGAGGGTAGAACATTTCATTCTAATAAACACATTCACATAACCCCGATCAAGTGTTTGTGAAAATCAAACATTTTTGTTGATTCTCTGGTGTGCACTCTGGTCACTGTGACTCCATCTTCTCCTAGAAACATCAACTTGAATGCGCTAACCCTCAATTACAACAAAATGCTGCCATAAGGCCTCTTTCCTCATTTATCTTCTTCATTTTACATATTTTACCTAACACTGTTTTACCTGCACTACAGAATTTTCATTTTATATTGGACTTGTATTCAGTGATACATTTCACTGTTAGCTCATGTCTAACATTACATAGCATGTAAATACAGTTTTGTTTAAAGGTGCTGTCTTAAACCATTTGAAGCAATGTTTTTGTTTACCAGCAAACCAGCTTGTGTAGTGTGGTTTGCCATCCCCTGATGTCGTTCCATTATCCTCTACAGTTAACTTGCCTTAACTTTAAACTTGTTCAACAATACAGTACCTGCCAACATTTGGACATCTGGTACAAACCTGGGGACTACTTTAATCTGAACTATACCAAATTATAGCTTTAGTGTTGCTCTGCACAGACAATTGGAGACCATTATTAGCAGCTTTTGCAGCTGTAGTCCATGAAAGTACTGTACAGATTCACAGCACACAAGGGAAAGTTATGTCCTGTCAAACAAAAAATTAAAATCCATTCCTATAAATTACAAATAAAAAAAGAGGCAAGTAAAAACAGGGAGAACAAGAACCGGTAAACAGTTCTTAACAGACAATGTTTTGGGGTCAAACTGAAAAAGGCTTAAACTTCTGTTTATCAAGTTAGATAGTCCCTTATACTGTTTTTCTACCACAACAATTTTTTTAACCAAACCCCAGTTTTTCTGTTATTAAAAAACCATGTCTGCTATACAAAATTTCATAACAGCCATTTTGTAGCATTTTGTAGCCACCTGTGTTGATTTTCTAACATAGAAAGTCTTTATAGATCAGAGCTTCCATGTTCCTCTTGTATGTCTGCTTCTACCTCCTTGAACCTCCAGATGGCCTCTTCAGAAGGCCGCTCATACTGTGCCTGGTTCTGCTGGAGATTTCTAGCAGTTAAAAGCGAGTTTTTCCTTCCCACTCTTGCTGCATGCATGCTTGCTGTGAGGGATTGCTGGAGAGTAAATGATAAAATGCAAGTAAATTATGATAATCATCCAAAAGAAGTGTGTCCTGCAAAGCCAGTAAGTCAATGGAATCAACTGGTTTTCCTTGACAGTAGCTTTAAACCAGTCTGAATTATCTCTGTAAAGTGCCTTGGGATTAAGTGTTGTGAATTGGCTGCATATAAATAAACTGAACTGAATTGAACTTTTAAACTGAAAGCAGATAATTTATATTGCAGCAATTCCCAACAACACTTTTCTGAGTCGGATTAGAAGAAATCAAACAGAGACAGACTGACAATAAAATCTGAAGGTAACAGAATTACTAAAAGTTTAAACCAAGCCTTGGCCACCTGCAGAGTAAAACACCTAAACGGTAGATTTTATTACAACCACATTTCACTACAATCTGTTTTAAAAGTTGGCAAAATATGATGCATACCGTGTCTGGATCTGAAGGGGGTTCATATGCTCAGAGAGGCTGAACTTTCTGGAAAAAATATCATTGCACCTTTAAATATTCTGTTAATTTACAATACCAGCATATTAAAGGTATAATGGAGGATTTTTGTGATTTTTTTTAAAGACCTGCCCTCTCCACTTAAAAAAAATACACATGCAGAACCCTGTACCTGCTCCCGAGAGCGTATGCCTATTAAACATGTGTGAGAGCTAAATGAGCCCATTTCTCCTCATGCACACGGTTTACAAGTTGCTGCTTGCATCGCTCATACAAGCTTACATTCCAAAAGAAGATCTGCAATTTTTCCACTATGTCAGATTTACCACCGGTAAGTGAAAATGGGGATAAGCATGTAGGAAGGCCTTATGTAAATATATCAACAAAATGATTGACAGTTAGTAGGACCACTTATTTCGATGATCCACCTGGAAAAATAACATCCTCCACTATACCTTTAAGTGATTTAGAATAGTGCTGTCAGGTCTTCTAAGGTAACAGGCTGGATTTAAAGTCTACATCATAAGGCAGGGTTTCACTATCATACACCTTATTAATAAAAAGTACATGAAATATTGTAAATACTGACATGCCTTTAACTTTGTTTCCACACTTTAGGATTGAGCTGCGACCCTTGGGTAAAATCGCAGAAGGAGAGGAGCTGACGGTCGCTTATGTGGACTACATTAATGTGTCAGAAGAGAGACAGAGGCTCCTGAAAACGCAGTACTTCTTTGACTGCACATGTGAACACTGCACCAACAAAACCCATGATGACTTGAAGATGGGGGGGCAGGAAGTAGAAGGAGTCAAGGTTTGTCTCTGTGGGATTTATTTCATGGTGGCAAACAGAAACCCAAACACGAGTGCCACATTTAGCACTGACAGGAGTGATAAGGCAGGCATGAAATCTGAGAAATTATCGCACTGACTATTTTAAGAGAAGATCATTCACAAGTAGATTTGGCCCACAATGCATTTACACATGCTTTTAGCTTCTAGTTAAATTTGTGCAGTTTCTCCTTAACTGAACTTGTACTTCAGCCACATTAAAGAATAATGCCAGCATCAAATAAAATCCAGACCGGGCTGTAGTAACTGAGAAACAGCTTGACATTATCTTAAAGTCCTCAGCTCAATAATCTATATCTGACTGTATTCTGCTCTGTGAGAGAGGTTCATTATATATATACGTCTGTGTGTGTGTGTGTGTGTGTTTGTGTGTATCAGTAATTATTAGCATGTTTCACTCTGAGTGGAAAAAAGCTTGTCTCTATGAATTTAAAAAAAGATATGACATTTTGTCCAAAAACTGAACCAAATTTCAGATAATTAATGTTGTGAGCAGAGTTCTTTTTTTTCCAGATAAAAGTTAATCAGACCTTAACTTTTATGGTCCCAAGCATGGCTCACATGTGCCATCCTAAAATAAACAGACTTTAATACTGCATTTAAATGTTAATTTTTAAGCCCCTTTACTGTCTTTAACTCTCTACAAGAGCGTTTTTTTTTTCTTCCAAACCTACAGCCTTCAGATGAACAGGTCAAGGAGGCAACAGATTACTGCTTTGACATGATGAACAAAATGGACAAGGCTCGGTTAAACGGCGACTACCACGAGGTACAGCTAAAAATTATTTGTCCAGAATATTACATCTCTTTTGTGGTAATATAAACAAACGTATTTATTTTCTGTTTTTGCTTAAAGGTGGTAAAAATATGCAGGAAGTGCATTGATAAGACAGAGCCTATCTTGGCTGACACTCACATCTACCTGCTGAGGATGTGGAGCACAATGAGTGAGGTGCAAGCCTACCTGCAGTATTTCGAGGAGGCCGCAAATTACGCTCGCAAAATGGTGGAGGGATACATGTGAGTGACAATAGGCACATCAGCTTTATGGGATGCTTGTTTTTCTAGGGATCCTGAAGTGCAAAGAAAAAAAACAGAGCAGAAATAGAAAACTCCCTCAAGCCGGCAGTAGATGATGTTACTGCTTAGGGTTTCTTTTTTTTTTCCTGATGGTACAAATGAGGGTTATATCAGAAAGATGCTTTATTCGCTGCCTAGAGCAGGTTAGAATCAAATCAGAAACTTCTATAACTTTCTAGGCAATTGAATCAATAGAAAATTATACCAAAGCTGATGTTTGCAGCATTTAGACTGAAGTGCAAATAATATGGGTTTAAGCAGAGTAACCAGGATTCTGACACTACTATAATTTTTCTTTTGTAGTTTATTTTCTGTGAGTTGTCTTCACCCCCTCAAGTTTTTACACTTGCTAAATCATTTCATTAAAGACCAATTTTCTCCTAGTTTGAGTATTGCCATGTATACTCATGTGGTTATCCCCTTTGGTTGACACCCCTTTTTAAATGGTCGCACTCATTTTACTATTGTTTTATTTGTACTGCAGTTTTGCTATTCTGTAACACCTGAAGCTCATGGGCAGATTTTACTGATTGCTATTGAAAGTCTTCAGACTGAGAATCACAAAGCAGCCCTTATTGACAGGAAACTATACCACCCTAACAACGCTGCCCTCGGTATGGCTGCCATGCGAGCTGGAGTGACACACTGGCAAGCTGGATTGATCGAGGTTGGACATGGGATGATCTGCAAGGCATATGCCATCCTCATGGTCACTCATGGTCCAACTCACCCCATCACCAAAGACCTTGAGGTACACTGCTTCAAAAAGAAAATATGTTTTTGGCAAGACATTTTCACCGACTGTTAAGTAGTCTGAATCAGCATCTAAATTATGAGCAAATTCAAAGGCAAAAACTCAAAATTGGATTCACTGCAGAAAATCAGTGCGATTTGCAAATTTATATATATATCTATATCTATATATATATATAGATATAGATATAGATATATATATATATATATATAGATCCCTTTTTTACTGCCCCCAAGTGGTCTGGCTGCAGTCTGAGAAACTGTCTTCCAGTCAGATCTTTACCCTAATCAGTGTTATTAGTGGATCAGACCAAATGCTTCAGACAAAAGCTTTTCTGATCACAGGAAGACTGACTTTTTAATCCCGAATCCTCCTCAGGCAATGCGCATGCAGACAGAGATGGAGCTGAGGATGTTCAAGCAGAACGAGTACGTCTACCACAGCATGAGAGAAGCGGCTTTGAAAAACAAACCCATGACCATGCTGCACGAGCCAAAGTCTGTTGAGGAGGGGATCAAGAATCTCTTTCATCGGAGAAAGTAGCCCACATGGGACTGTAAAATAGAGCATTTGTTTACTGCAAACAGCTTTATGGATGTTCTATATTTTCCGGTCACATTTCCTGCATTTCTCACATTTTGTAGATTTCAATAAACTGTTTTGAAACCGACTTTAGAGCTATTTTTTTTACTCTTGCTACTCAGGTATCAAACTAGGTTTAAGCATACCTTCATATTTTTTAATCAACTCAGGAAGGAAATGGGTTCCATGCAAATCACAATCAAGATGTACAGTTATGCTCGAAGTCTTTCAACCTCCTTGGTTTATGATTCAACTTAAGTTGGGAAATTGGATTAGGTCATTTGTTTTCGATGAGTTACTTCAAATTGCACAAAAAAAACAAACACACACACCAATGGGTAATTGCAAGCTAGCCTTTAGCATTATTCTTAACAGTATTACCTTCTTCAAAGGTAAAGCCAAAACTTAATGGCTGCCATCACCCCAAGCCTTGATGAACAGAGTTTAAATCCAAATCTGCCAGGGCTCCGTCACTATAGCGGGCTAAAGTGCTCTTTATAGTGAAAGCACTGCATGTGCCCGTTCTTTCAATTTGAGTCCGTGCACAACAATGGCACAACCTAGTGCAGTCTAGATGCATGGTTAGAGTTTGTCTTCAAGCTTGTAGACATTGGAAACATGCTGCGTTTCCAAAGGCAAGTTTTTAAAAGGTCATTTGTAAGAGCAATGCTTTCTAGACCTTGTCTAAAGTCTAGACAAAATAAATGTGCCCCTCGTCCCAATATCTTCAAAAAAGAGACCAAGAAACTTGCTGCTTTCAAGTTTTTTTTATTATTCCAAGCGTAAACATTTACATGCGTTTGCTTATTCCCTTGTAAACAATGTCACCAAGAGTCATCGTCTGCAAAGAAAAGGAAAAACTTCAGAAATTTGCCCAATGAAATTCAAAGATACAAACATTTCTGGAAGATTACATTTACGAGCGTGTTGGCATCCATCATTTCCGTTACAGTCTCTATTCCTTTAAGAGTAACCTTCAGTTTACCGCCCTCCCGTTTCACTACTCCCTTTAAGATAGAGAGCAATAATTGATTAGAATGAGTGTTCAGTTCGGGGAGTTTTCATTTTAGTGAAATATCTACTTACTTTCATCTTCTCTCCAGCTATGTTTTGCATCTCTGTCTCCTTTCCGATGGTGAAGGAATTGGTAAGGGCTGTTGACCCCGTGGTGACAGTCACCTTGAAATTGTCCCCATTCTCCTCAATTTCAGTGATGCTTTTCAGGCCTTTACCTTTCTGGATGAGCTCATCAGGAAGACCTGAAACGTATAACTGACTGAGACCATACATCTCGTTTGCATAGAATTTGTGTTCCTTAAAGAACCAACTCACCAAGAGCCTTCATGAAAGGCTCAAAGTTCTCCTGTGACTCCAGCTGGTATTTTCCAGTAAAAGACATGGTGACTGACAGAAAAGGTGGATAGGAATGAGGAGCCCTGCCTTTTGTATGCTCTCAAAGAGATGCAGATCAATGATTTACCCAAGGTTACTCCAATTAGGCAGAGTCAGACCAGCTCGGAGCTGTGCTCACATCGAACACAGCAGATAAGAGCCTGAGGAGACATACACAGACTGAAAGAATTTTGCAAAACTTAAATTAAACCTAGTAAGCAATAGAAAACAATAAATGCGAGACAATCTTTTGAGCAAATAAATGTGACTGAAGATCACAATTAACACACTTTAATTGATGCTGTAATTAATCAAGAACTTCTAACAGGACTGAATGTGTTGATACTCATAGCTGCATTACATAGAGGGGAATGTTTAATGTGTTGTTTCATTTTGTTTAGTTAGAGAGTTTTATTCAGAGTTAATGAAAACTCACAAAGTTTTAAAGGAAATCTATTTGAAAAGCTGAAAATAAAATGTTTTTCAAAGAAAGTCACTGAGTCCCTCTACATGGAGGGTAAGCAGGTCAACATTAAATGCTGCCTGGCAGGGTACTGAGGGTACTCTGGCGGAAATACTAATAAATTGTAGCTAAGAAGAAATTATTATCTGGAAAAGAAAATTTTGCACCATTAAGAAGAAGTACAGAAACCTTAAAAGGATTGCATTAAGAAAACTTCATTTAGAGGTTGGAGCAAAGCCATTCTGGACATGGACTCAAGTTTAGCCACCCCTGGATCCTTAGCATTTAGGTGGGCTAAGGCAAAAAAAAATTAATGGACTGTTTGGCACATGAATGCAGATGTTGCATTTGATTTTGGAAAATCCAGGTCAAAGTATGGAGGACGAAGAACAGAATCCGATCCCTTTATGCCCAGGGTTACGGTTCTGCAGTTATTGGTCGCATTTCATTTAACCATGCTATTTGTTTAATGCTATTTAATGTTATTTGAACACATTTATTCTTGTGTGGTTTTAATTGCATTTTAATATTAATGGTTGTTTTGTGGTACTATTAGAATATGGAAAAAGTTTTGTGTTTCAAATGGAAAGCACCTCATGATGCTTT